TTTGAGAAAATCACAAAATCAATTGTGCTATTTTATGATTTGAGAATAAGCGGGTAGTTATTATTTTCATTATTATCATGCCCTGCTTGCTGTGTGCATATGTTGACTGCCTTTTCGTCGACTGCAATAGCCTTTGTTAATGTAAAGGAATCTGGAGTCAGTCCTGAAACTGCTGAAGCAGGTTTCTGTTCTCTGATGAACTGTTGCATATTTTGGGGTCTAAATCGTATGAAGGTTTTGAAGCTTTCGCTTTGTGCCTTTTATTAACAACAACAACTTGGATTTATATAGCGACCTCCACGCCAGACGGCGTCTCAGAGCGCTTCACAGTAACAGATCCCGGGGCCGAGCCAGGGGGAGGGGGAGGAAGGTGACCAAAGGCGCGGTCAAAAAGAAAGGTCTTCAGCAGAGAATTAAGTAGAATTATTAAATTAAGTAGAAACCTGTTTTCAAATGGAATTGGTCAGTTTGCTTAGCAACAGATACTATAAGTAGAGGAGAAAATGTAATGTGATTGTGAAGAGCTAAAGCTGCGGGGATATTACCATTAAATGACATTTAATGGAGAAATGAAGAAAATCCCTATTCCTGAGGATACGCTCTCCATTTGGCCAATCAGTAACTGGTACCTAAGCTTTGCTAGAAGCACTCTCTCTTCCTCAAAGAAAGAATTCATTGGCTGTCACAGTGGGTAGTAGGTGCGATTGCTGAATAGCATGTATAGCAACCGTGTTCTCAGTCCCTTATTTGGTAGCTCTTAACAGAAGCAGTCCTTCCAGTAGCAAAGCATCCTCACATACATTATTCATCAGTGCAACTGCCAGGGAGATGCTTGTCCACAATCCCTTCTTTAAAGCATTACTTTCGGCCAGAGCTTTCCACATGCCTTTAAAAACTCTTAATGCATTGTTCAGAGCCGGATTTGAATCGATGGCCATTTTACACCAGCCAGGTGACAAAGCAATGGGAATTAATAAGCACATTTCAATTCTACTTGCTCTATGAGTAATCAGTTTTACTGATTTCTGGAACTGTTTCACACCGATTCTTTGAAGGAGTACAGATTCTACATATTTCTTGAATTGTTTTTGTTGAGAACACTTGCAAGATGCCTGAAGCTAATTACCTGCTCTCTGTTTCCTGGGGCTATATAAAGGTATGCAAACCAAATGTATTTTTGTTGTGATCTAGAATTTAAATGTAAATGACCTTTATTGCAATGTTAAATTTAAGTTTTAACTGGATGCTTTGAATGTTAAATAGGTATACGAATGAAGGATACTGCAAGGCATCTGATTGCAATTGCCCTACTTGCTGTATGCATATGTTTCGTCAGCTGCAATAGCCTTTGTTAATGTAAAGGAATATGGTGTCAGTCCTGAAACTGCTGAAGCAGGTTTCTGTTCTCTGAACTGTTGCAAATTTTGGGGTCTAAATCGGATGAAGGTTTTGAGTCTTTCGCTTTGTGCCTTTTATTAAATTAAGTAGAAACATGTTTTCAAATGGAATTGGTCAGTTTTCTTAGCAACAGATACTGTAAGTAGAACATCAGTAGCAAAGGACCTTTGACATATTTGTGCTGTTAACCAGAATGGAAAGATACAAAGTTCTTCATTTGTTGATATTTAGTTTTAATCTGTCAAAAATCCTTCCAGCCACTCATTGCAAGCTTTCCAGGCTCCCTTAATTTGTATTTAAGCAAATAGATGAAAACGTAACAAATGTTTAATAATTAACAGAGTTCCTTGCTAAGAATTAAAGGAGTTAACTGAGTTCTTCAAGTCGTTTAAGATACTACCCTGTGTGAAGGGTGCTGTATAAATACAAGTTGTTGCAAATTAACCAACCTGTGTTGGTTTGGGCTTGCAAGAAAAAAAATAAGAAACAAAAATGCATTGCAAGGCTGTAATCACACTCGTAAGAGTAAAACTCATCAGAAAAGAAAGAAAAATGTTTGCATTCAGCAAAACTGCCTTATATTTGAAACCAGAAAGAGAAAGAGAAAGGCTCATTGTGGAGGAGAGGGGTTAATTGTGGAGGAGAGGGGTTAATGGTGCAGGAGAAGGGTTAATTGTGAAGGAGGAGGTTTGGTTATGCAGGAGAAAGGTTAACTGCAAAGAGTTAATTGTGAAGGAAGAATGGTAACTATGAAGGGTTAATAGCGAAGGAGAAGTGTTATCTGTGAAGGAGCTTTCCCTTCTTCACTGATTCATTCTCCCATCACGTAACCACCTCTTCAAATTGAAATGACCATGATCTGATTCTCTTTGGAGTGAAATATTATGTCTGAACTATATTTTGAAGTCCTGTTAATTGACTTTTCCGGCAAAAAAAAAGATATCATAGAAGATGACTTTGATTGTCAGAACCCTTTCTCTTGTTCAACGACATCACCTTTTCTGGTGGAAACAATGGAATTAATGGTGGGCTCCTATATTACATTAGATATTAAGATTCTTGCACGGCCCCCCTCCCTCATATTTCCTGCTACCATTCTCTTGACATTGGAATTAGTCCAAAGCATATTTTCTTTTCAGATGATGACAATGTACTCTGACCTGATAACTACAGTATTGAAGAGCTCCTTTGTGTTTTTCAGCCAGTCCAGGTCCAATTGGAGAACACACGGCAACTAAGGCAGCAGTGCTTTGATCTATCCATTTGCTTGTCAGGCGGTCTTGATATTGATTAATCTGAAATCTTGTAATAACCACAAGCAGTAACGCTGTGCCAACAGTGATTCCGTCAGTTTATTCTCTCTTATGCATTCATATTTTTTGCCAAATTTATATAATGATGCCTTTTAATTGTGTCACTTCTAAAGAACCCAGCATAATGTGACAATAATCATCTTCTATCTAATATGAGCACCACTCCCATAGGCTGGGGTTTCCTCAGGGAAGGACAGCTTAATCATTTTGTAATTAAAATCTACAATATGAAGCTTTCCCCCTATCCTCCACCACCCAGCTTTCCCCCATGATTTAGAGCAATAGGAAGCGGTTAGCGATGCTAAGTGAGTGCTAAGTTAGCTGATCGCAGGCAGTGGCGAGGGCATCACAAGCGGGCTCAGTTCCCCAGGGTGTGGGGGGGGGCAAGATCTGCCTGGGTCACATTCCTGATGGTGTCCTCTGATCATTGCAAGAAAGTGCTCTGTACGGAACAAATTGGATTGAGCTGGATTGTCATGATCAAGATAGCCTGCTGGTATCCACTAACTGGGCTGAGACGTGAACAACGGGCACTTGCCTAACACCTTGGGTACCAAACCCCAGCATCTGTGTCAGTTTCCTGTAGAGGAGGATGGGAGAAATTAGAATGGGAAGGGGGAATTTTCATTGGTGAATATTTAATACTTTTTGTGATATCTTGCCATTTAATAATAGATAATAATAATTCTTGCCTTTGATGTAGCGCCTTCTCATATTTTTGAAACGTCTCACAGGATATCCTGTAAAGTGGATTGACTGTGAATTTTGTGTGAGAAACATGGCAGACTATTTGCCCACAGCAATATACCACAACCAGCCATGGAGTGAGTGACCAAATTTATTCGGGGAAATATTGGCTAGGACACCGGGAGAAACTCCCATCTCTTTTCGAAATAGTGCCAAGGGATCTTTAACATCCACCTGACCAGGCAAACAGGATCTTGGGTGTAGCATCTCATATGAAAGATGACACCTCCAACAATGCAACACCCTCTCCCCCAACACTGCATTATAGTGTCAGCTTCGACTGTGTGATTCCAAGATCCACATGGGGCTTCAACCAACAATCTTCTGACTCAGAGGCGAGAGAGCTACCACTGCGCCAGGCTGACACATTTATTTTGATGTATTTTGTTTTCATAAAATTGCAGAATGTTACAGCACAAAATCTGGTCATTCCAAAATAGTGTTTTTTTTACAGCATGTTAAAAAAAACACTTTATTAGTTGCGCTACGTATCACCCTCTTGCCTGTTAGGTGGAGGTTAAAAATCCCAATGGCACTATTTGAAAAGAAAAGTGAGTTTGTCCCAATGTCTTGACCACCAATTCCCCAAATAAAATTGATAATTCACATGGCTGTGAATTAATGTGTGCAAATAGGCTGCTGCATTTGCCTAAAAATATACAGCAGTGGCGGCCAACCTTCTTGGTCCTCCAACAAAATAAATTTTCATCAATCAAGAATTATTCAATCAAGAAACAACTTGAAACAAAACGTTGATGCAAAACAGACTCACCCAGACTCGTGCGAATGTTTGCTGGGCCACTTCTTGATGGCCCAAAGCCATGGGTTGGCCGCCACTGCTTTAAAGTGTATCCTTGAACTGCTTTGAGAAGGCCTCCTGACATGAAAGGCGTTATATCAAATACAAGGATTATTATTATGGAGGTTTAATATTAAAGTACATGCAGATGGAATGGAATACAATAAATATGATGATTCTACATGGTTTGATAGTTAGATCAAAAATGGATAGACAATAAGTTGATTTTCCTCTTTCAAAGCCATCTGATCCTAAAATCCATTTTCTGAAATCTTACTAACCTTTTCATACTGCCAACTACACCTCTTTATATGCTTAAAAGTCAAGTTGGATGATTTTACCAATAAAATTAATTTCATGCCTCATGATTGCTGAGGTGAAAATATTTTCAGTATTTGGATATTAAATCTTTTAAAAATATGTATCACAATGAAGTGACAGACAATGCCAAAGGTTAAATTGAGTCATGTATATTTGCTCACAAAGCTCCATTGTATCTGAGCTATTCTCACCAAACACCAGGATACGAAATGTACAAAATGGAACTGAATAACCTGTGTGATGGAGTGTATTTGGATGAATGGCTGTAAGGGACTTTGCAGAAGATTATCAGATATTGTAATATGCAATAAGCATTTGATACATGCAACTTTAATGAATAAAATTAAATGCCAAGCATCAAAATATAACAAAAAAATTCTGAAATATTAATGTTTCTTATGTTTTTTTGCTTTATTTTACAGTTCAAGAGAATGCTCAATCGGGAGCTTACTCACCTGTCTGAGATGAGCCGATCTGGCAATCAGGTCTCCGAATTCATATCCAGTACATTTTTGGGTAAGTACTGTCAAGACTCAAAGCTTCCTTTCATTTGTAACCTTTTGGAATTAAGTGTAATTAAGATTTTGAGTGGAGTTTAATTTTATGAGAGACTGTCATTGGTGTTCAATATACATTATATATTAGTAGTGTCAAATGATTTGAGACATCCTCCTGACAATCCCACTAAGATGGTGGCAAGGGATTTTGGTCACTCTCATCTCCCTCCATTGATAACAAGATCCCAATGCAAGCTAAGGTTGTGGTTCAAACAGTTCTCCTTCCTGTTTCCAAGCTCCTGTGCAAGCAGTGGTGGGGTTTCCTTTGGCCCACTTGTGAAGTAAATGGTGGAAATGTGCCTTATATTCAGTGTTGATCAGTCAAGACTTCCAACCCAAGCATAAATTTCTTTATGTCTCATACTTACATAAGCACTGCTAAAAAAAACAAATCGTGCAACACAGGATGTATTTTCAAATGAAATATATTTGTCACTGTAATCAGGCGTTGGGTACTGTGTAGACAGGCATTATTCTCCTGGGTGCACATGGTATGGAGCAGAGATTCCCACTCATTCAACTACCATGCAGATGTAATGCCATTTGCCTACCATGATTTTGGTGGTATATTTTCAGAAAGCCAATTATCTATTCTGTGATGTACCCAAGAAAAGGAGTGACAACAATGTCATGCAGAAAGCCCAAATCAATTAATCTTCATGAATTATTTATATTCGGAATGATAACACACCATTCCATGTCTATTTTTTCTACTGTTTGCCTCTGCTCCATCACGCTGCACTAGATATGAAACAATAGGGATAATTTGACTCAAAATCGCTTCCTTTGCCTTTATCAGGAACAAAATTCTTGTTTCAGTAGTCGGAATTGTGTTCGAAGAATTCACAGGAATCGTTTTGTCTACAAATACAGTCAATACATTTTGCAGCGCTTTGAGACATCCTCCCAACATGAAAGGCATTGCATCAAATACAAAGATTATTATTAGTATTATTAATCATTAAAAAAATGTCGGATGTGATTGGTTTTCCAATTAGTTTTTAATGTTTAATATTTTTGATCTTTTTATATGCATTGCTGCTTGAAATAATGAAGGATTTTGTATGATAAAAAGCAATTAGGACAGTTTTATTTTATGTCCTGTAATTGCTTTCTCTGCAGACGGATGAGTTTGCTGCCAACGTTCTGTTTTCAAAAACAATGTACTTGGACTTAATCAGTTCTTGCAGTGCTGCAATGTAAAGTTTGATAAATGATCTGGCAGCTTAGATGCTCGACACTAATTGAATGTGAGAATGAACCATGGAGCTGCTTAAATGGAGGCATCCCATTTCTGTGAGAAGGGCTTGTTTGTGCTGCAGAGTACCTCTAACGCTTTCAGCAAAGATGAATCTCTGATTGTATCAGACACTCTGTGGAAACCCTTCTGCCTCAATAAATCCCCCATCTCTTTAGAAACCCTATTAACATATAACAGATGATCAGATAGTTGAGATCGTGAGATGATGATGCAGTGCACACTGACTGCGGTGAAAGGTGGAAATATTTGAAAGTCAGCTGAATTAATCAAATTGGCTAATGGGAAAAAATGATTTATGTCCCGAGTGTCATTCTGAAGCTCTTAAAAAAAATTACCTTTACCTTACCCTTATGTCTTTTCAAAATTTCTACATTACTTTCCAACATTAATAAATCCGGTCAGTGAGTGCCAGGATCTGAGCTCATTGCTGTGGGAAATCCCTTTCCGTTCGTATGAATCTTAATGGGGTTAGGTGTGATAGAAGAAACGTTTCCATGTAGCTAGGTCCAGTAGAGGAACTAGCACCAACATGGGCTAGATGGGCTGAATGATCCACTTTTGTGCTATCATATCTATGATTCTATAACCTGAACAAATTATGTAGTCGGATGGAAGGTAGATAATAGGGAATTAAATGGAACAGGTTATTTTATTCAGTAGTCTGTTAACATGCATTCCTGCAAAGATTTGATGAATTCCTTCTGATTGCAAATTCATAGCAAATAAAAATGACAGCCTTCTGGGGTAGAGAATTCCATAAATTCACTACCCTCTGAGTGAGGAAGTGTTTCCTCAACTTTGTTCGTAAAGGTTGACCCTTAATCTTAATCTTAAGACTTTGACCCCTAGTTATAGATTCTCCTACCAGGGGAAACAGTCTCACACTGTCTACTTATAGGTTTCTATAAGATCATCCCTAATTCTTCTATATTCTAGAGAATATAGGCCTAGTTTACTCAACCTATCCTCATAGGTCAACCCCCTCATCCCAGGAACTAACCTAGTGAATCTACGCTGCACCCCCTCTAAGGCGAGTATGTCCTTTCTTAAATAAGGAGACCAAAACTGCACACAATATTCTAGGTGTGGTCTCACCAAGGCCCTATACAGTTGCAGCAAAACTTCCCTATTCTTGTATTCTAACCCTTTTGCAATAAATACCAACAATCGCACACCGTCAGCACAATATCACTGCATCTAAAATACAGAATGGATTTATCTGTTCCCATAAAATAGATTGATCTGAGCTGATTGTAAGTTTTTTTACTTCAACTATTTTGTACTTCACCTACTGTGCAAAATATTTTTTTCCTATTTCCATTGTACTGCAGAGTTCAAGCCTGGAACAATTTTCTGCGTGACTGCTCTGACAAAGTAATTCTTTCTTGGCGTGAATGGCTCAGATTATTATGACAAGCGCAGAGAAGATTTTTGGCATGCTTCACGATCCGACTTAAGTCACAGTTCCCCTGACTAATCTCCAGAGACACTGCTTGATGAGACTTCTGAATTTCATTATATGCGCGGAGGAAAGAAAATAAAAATGGCAAGACAGCTAGAATGAGATTTTATCAAAATTTACTCAATCTCAGTTTGTTCATCAAATGGATTTCTTATGGATGGATTGGATGGGGGGGGAAAGAAACATAGGACATAATCACACAAATAAAAATCCAGTGTTAAAATTCATGTGACATTATTAACCGGTCAGAACAAGAGGAATTGTCCACCCCTCCTGATCCCAACCACCAGCTTGGGTGCAGATCCCTGACTGCCCAACGCCTTGGGACGTCCTCCTGATGTTATACAAGGCGATATACAAATGTAATTTGTTGTTGTTGATAAAATTGGTTGTTTGTGAGTCATTGTTGCGCACAAATTGCCTGCCATGTTCACCATTACAGTCACTACACTTGTAGTGACTAAAAGTGAACATGGTGAAAAAACAATGTTATCAATCTGTGAGTCACATTTTAAGATACAACAACAAAATTACATTTGTAAAGCACCTTTCACGTCGGGAGGACGTCCCAAGTCCCTGAACAGTCAGGGATCAGGACCCAAGCGTGGGGGGCAGGGTAGGGATGAGGAAGGGCAGAGATAGGATGGCGGCTAAAGCACGGTCAAAAACGAGGGTCTTGAGTCATGCCTTGAAGGAGACAAGAGACGGAGCAAGGCGAAGGGATTGTGGGATGGACTTCCAAAGGGTGTGGGCAGAGACGCTGAAAGCAGGGCTGTCAATAGTAGGGTGGGTCGGGAGATCTGGAGCAGGCTGGAGCCTGCTGAGCGGAGGGAGATAGGGGGTCAGCAGGTCAGAGATGTAGGAGGGGGCAAGGCCGTGGAGGGCCTTGAAAATGAGGATGAGGATTTTGCATTCTATCCTCTGAGGGATGGGGAGCCAGTGGAGCCGGGTGAGGGTGGGGATGATGGGGTCACGGAGCCTGGTGCGGGAGAGGCCACAAGCTGCAGAGTTCTGGTTGATCCGCAGCTTGTGGAGGGAAGAGTTGGGGAGGCCGACAAGGAGGGAGTTTCCGTAGTCGAGCCTTGAGGTGAAGAATGCGTGTATGAGGGTTTCGGCGGCCTGAGAGGTGAGGCAATGGCAGAGTGAAAACAGAATTTTTACCCAAGGGTTTCCAAACATTCAAGTGCTTTAGGTTTAACTGTAGTGAACTTTATATACTAGCCCATGGTGTAATCTTCAAAGTGTGCCAGGGAACACCATTCGATGGGATTTCTTAATCTCATTATGTGTTGCCAAAGCAGTAGCAAACATTGGCTTGTATTTCAAATTAGGATTATTCCAAGTATAATCCATTTTGACCTTGGTGCCTGAAAACCAAGAGAAAATAACTAGGGTTTTATTTTTCTTGCTACTATTCTTAAACTTTAAGATTGCCTTTAAAAGAATCAAACCTTCCACTGGTTAGGCCCGACCAAGTGAGCAGGTCATTGTAAGCTATTTGGCCAACCCTCATTGACCATGTTCTCCCCCAACCACAAAAATTATATTGAGATATTTATAGTTTGTTTAAAAACAAACAAGAAAATGAAAAATCGTTATCAACGTACTTTCTTTTTCAAGAAATAATTTGCCAGTTTTGTGTAGAGAGGGATTAAATGGTATGTTTATAGAAGAAAAACTTTTTTTTAAGATAGACAAGATTAGCCAAGTGCTAATGTCAGGAAAAAATACACGCTACTCCGTGCTTAAGGAGGGTTAACTGACAGTTAATAGAAAAGGAGTAAAACAGATGGGACCATTTCTAAGCTGCTCCCAAAAGCTATTTACCATGAATAATATAATTCACGAGCTACATCTTTTATTTGAGGATTTGTTCCTGTTACAATTTTAAAGGGCTCCTAGTACCTTCCAAACAAGAGGCATGCAATTGAGCCACAATAACCTGTGTGCTTATATGATATGGGGATGTAATACATTTCCCTTCAAATACGTTGGCTCTTATCTGACTGCTCAGATGATTTAGGTGGACATTAAAGATCCCTTGGCATTATTTCGAAGAAAAGCACAGATAGGTTTTGCCAGTGTCCTGGTCAGTATTCTTCTGGTCCAATTTTTCCTGGTTAGCCAGGTGTCTGACACACATGGAAATCCATCACCAGCCTGAGAGATTACATGGACATGCCACATGCACATGGAAATTTCTGGTGTCTGGAAATGGAATGCGCACTCTCTGCAC